AAAAAAAAATCAAACCTTTAAATCTCCTGTTCTATCATAAAAATCAAATCTTTTATCAGCATCTCTCTTCAACTCTCCACCAAACCCATTCCCTCCCACGAGAAATCTTCCCCAGCCGGCAAGACTGCTCCTTTAACAGCCTAAGCATCGTCGGCCTCTCGCCGGCGACGATTCCAAATTCATCTCGAAACTCCTCCATTCCACCTTCAATAAGCTGCCATATAAAAGATCCACTTCCCGCTCCCTCATTCTTCGCAGACATGTAAATAAGATCGAACACTTCACTGTAAAATTCATCACGTTCAGAGTTACTGAAATTCTGATTCTTATTTGATAATCCAAATTCTGTAAACAGAACAGGTTTTCTCAGCTCTTTCTCTCCATCCTTAATGTGAGAGCTCACCCATTCAGAGACAAACCTTCTCTTCCCTGCTTGATCCGTCCCTTCAGGCAACCTGGAAATGAAGATTATCATTTTCTTCTTTGGATTAGATGTTCGAAGAAAATCTAATGAAAAAGTTTATTAATTTATAACTCAAAAACATAAATTTTCCTCCTTTAATCGGCTCTCATGAAGCTTAATGTGATTCTCACCATAGATCAGGATAGATGTGTACTGAGGTGAAGTCAACAGCTGGGATTTGAGAGTTGCGGATGAAATCCAAGCCTAGTTTGCTGAAATGATCTGCTGGGTTCAGCTTCAGTTTTAGGGGGGTTGTGGGGCCGTAGAAACCTTCAAATCCCACTGTTACTAAGTGCTTGTTGTCAATGGATTTAATATAATTCGCCATTTCTTCGATCCAGTTCTGCATTCTTAAAAAAAAGAGATATAAATGCAACACCAAATAGATGATAAGGTTTAAAAATCAATTTTTTAATGTAGCTAATGCTTAATTCTTAATTCTTAATTCTTTCGCTTGCTGGAGTTTTCGATTGGTGAACAATGGCTGGCGAAGCACGAGCTTGGGTGGTTGCGGGGGTCGGAAGATTAGATACAGAGAAGAAGATGGAATGGTATTGTTGATGGCTAAAGAGCTAATTGGTAGGTGAATATA